GATGTGTTAGGATAGAGAAGAGTGGCAGGAGCAGAGGAGAGAGGGTGTAGAGCAAAGAAGAGAAGGTAGAGGTGAAGAGAAAGGAGAAAGAGAATGCGGGGGGGAGAAAGAAGAAATGGGGGATGGAAGAGGAAATGGTGGTCAGATGAGAGGGGAGAGACAGACGAGAGGGGAGAGAAGAGTGACAGACGAGAAGGGAGAGAAAAGAGAGGCAAGGGAGAGAAAAGAGAGGCAAGGGAGAAACCAGAATGAGAGAAACAGGTGAGAAGGAAAGGGAGAAAACAGGCTGATGGAGAAGGGGAAACTTGGGAGAAAAAATTGAGGCATGAGAGAAAAGTGATGTGGGGCAGAAGGGAAGAGGAAAAAAAGCAAATTGGTAGGGGGATGTAACAAATAATAATAAAAAAAAAAGTGGAGACTAAAAATTTAAAACAAAAAATCAAGTCATCATCAGCCTCAGGTGTAGCATTCTAATCTACAAAAGCTGCCATTCATGCTGGCTACAGCCATAAAACTTTTGCGGAGGCTGGCAGTTGGGCAGCTGCTCCCAATCACTAGTTAGATATGTTATATTCAACTCCACATCACATGTCATCAGTTGTCCGAGAAACAAACAAACAGTTAGCAAAAGGACAGCGGATATCTATTGAAATGGACAGAAGATTAACAGAAGGGGAGATATTAACAGAAAAGAATTGTGTAGTTGATTTGAAGTAATCTCTATGACTAGCAATAAAGACTAGAGAGAGATTGTTTGGACAGCAGTGTTTTGATAATTGTCATCTCCAACCCTACTTTAATCCTGCAATTCACAATATCACTAAAATCTGGATAAATAAGATATCAAATACGTGGGTAAATAAGGTATAGAATATGTGGATAAATAAGACATAGAATATGGAAAGGACATTTAAAGATTTCTAATTTAGAGAACAATGAGACGTAGATTGATTTCAATGACCAACTGCACAATTAGACAGGTTCCAATACACAAAGAGGTCAGAATAATTGTCATTGTCTGACATACAATAAAATATATAAAATTTTTCTTCAGTCAGGCTCATGCTAAGAATTAGGTTTCAAAACATAAAACTTAGTGCTAGCATAAGCAATTTTAAAATAAAAAATTATATTTTGTCAGTAATGCTTGTATTAATTCTTGACTAATAATCTTTTATTTCTAATCTTTTATTTCTGGTTTTCAATGGATTTATATAGAAAAATCATTACCTATGCACTTTTATAATGTAGTTACATCATAAATATAATAAATCTATTTATGCTTGCTTTAATTCCTGACCACTAACAATTCTTTTCTTCCAGATTTTCAATGTATTTCTATAGGAAAGTCATGAGCAATGCATATACAACTTTAGTCTATGGTGTTCATTGTTAATCCCTTTCTTCCTGATTTTCAGTGCACTTCTATAGTAAAATCTTGAATAATGTATCACCATTTTACATATAATCATCTTTTGCTATCAATAATCCATGTATTAATTCATGACCACTGACAACCTCATTTTCTTGATTTTCTATGTATAATATACAAATGGATTTTCAAAACTTATTACAATTATTTTGAAATAAATAATAAAAATTGTGTACTTAATTATGTAATTTTTTCTTTATACCTTGAAACATTTAGTTTGTGTAAAAAAAATGTCTAATGCCAAGCAGATGAGTATTAACGTCAACAGGCAGAAAAATAAAGATGAAACTTCCCTTGAATACAAAAAAAGGTAAAAAAGGTAAAAAAGGCTGTGATTTACACTATAGTCAAAAGAGGAAGATGGGTCCTGTTTACATTAGTGTCAAAAAAAAAAATGCATATGTCAACTTTATATTAGGATGGAAAAAATAATTAAAAAAAAAAAAAAGTATACATGGAGCCGGCTAACACTAGAATAAAAAATAGACATCACTCTAATTTACAAGTCAGAAATTGCATTAAACTAAATGAAGCATCAGCATTACAACTAATTATAAACAGAATTAAAATAATTTGTAATATATTTTAGTAGTAACATAATTTTGCATTTTTATAGTAAAATGCACTTTAAGGAAAAATACAAAAACAAAACTTCCCAGCTTTCTTAAAGTTCTTGAAATTCATAAAAATTCATAATCACAGAATAATTTTTAAAATATTTAGTTTTTATAGAATGCCTGCTCCACATTTCCTTCAACTGAACTCTTAACTACCAAATGAACATTTCTGTAAGCTCCTGATAGAGATTGTAAAGTTTCTGGATTCATAGCATCTCAAGCTAAATATAAACAGAAAAAAAAAGAAAAATATTTACAATTATATCATTTAATAATGTTTCAATTAGGAGAAAAAAAATGGTTCTAAGATTGTCAAAATCTGAACACTATAATTTCAAAGAATGAATTGCACAGCACAAATTCAAAATTTGACAAAAACATCTTAATTATAATTATTAGTAAAAAAATTTTGAAAACTCTTGATACAATCATTAAAATGTTATTAATAAAAGTGCAGGAAAATTATTGACAAAATTAACTGGTCAAAACATTCACACAGGTAGAACCATATGCAGTGAATTAATATTATCTTTGTAGATACATTCACTTCTATATCAATTTTATAGACAATATATATATATATATTTTCATGCATGCATACATGCACACAGAGTACACCAAAAAAAAAAAAAAATGCATAAACACTTCAGGAAAAGAATATCTTGTCTTTCATAGTTTTAGCAAATTGTGATAACACTGTTTATTGTAGTAAATATTTTCTTGACACATGGCATTTGTTATATGATGAACATAAGATTTATTTTAAAGCGGTATTTCAAATTTGTGAATGTTCATGAAGTCTAAAGACAATGGAGCCATGAATTGGAACACAACCTTCAACATGTTTGACAATTTCATGGATCTGTGATAACTTCGAAACAAATAGTATCATGTGTAATGTGCATAAAGGAAAATCTGGCAGACCTTGTACAGCAACAAGTGCTGCTTCCTCGGCTATGGTGTTGGAACAGTTCACATATTACCCAAGCAGTAGTTTTCCATACTAATAAATGTCTGGAAGCTAAAGGCCACCATTTTGAGTATCTCTTATGATTGTATGGTCTAAAGATAAGTTGTATTAATTTCATGATGTCTGAATAAATTTAGTATTACAATATCTATACAAGTTTTTCCTTTCCTGAAGTGTGTATACATTCTTTGGGAAAGACACTGTGTGTGTGTGTATATATATATATATATATATATATATAAAAAAGGTGTATTTAGGTAGCAAGAATTCTTTTAAACAAGAAATTATTTCTTTGCATTGAGTGTGATGTCATATCAGAAATAACCAGATCATACTAACATAAGACAAATTTTAATACATAACAGAAATATATTATATATAGGACTCAAGGCAAAGAAAGACTTAAAATTCTGGAAGCTGTTGTAAGACAAGGGAAGCAGCCAATATTAAATGGTGTATCTTTCTTCAATGGAGATTGTATACTGAATGGTGTGTAAAAACAAAACAAACAAAAAAAAATTATATAAAAATTCAGTTTGACCATTGTCATTGACATCACCTTTAAGTGACTTGAAATTGGTTCCACAAACTATGGAATGCCAAAAATAGCCAAACACATTTTCATAAACACAGATTTCTTGCTAATGATTGTAGTAATAGTCAAAAGAACACAGTTTTTTGGGTTTTTTTTAAAAAATGAGCTTTGGAAAGTTTACCAATTTTAATTCTGAAATAAAACATCTTAGAAAAACTTATTGGATAGAGAGACTGTGTCAGTATTGTTTAACAAAACTTATTTAAAATATATGATAACCATCCCTTTGATACTGAATATGAGCATTACTAGACATCCTTGTAAGACTTAATTGTGCCTGAGAAACAAATATGGCTCTTTAAACCAGACAAACTTTTAAAACTTCTAGCATATAATTGGTAAACATTAAACACATATATTTTTTTTTATTGTTATGTTTATTTTTGTTAATGTTTGTGTCTTTTCAGCCCACCTGCTGACTGCACACTTTTCCACAAAGGTAACATGAATTGTTAGCATTTAATGTCCTGTTGTAGTTTGTTGGTACTCCCATAACATGACTTTGTATATGACTCAAATGTTTTGCTTTACTTAAGAAAAACCTATCACAAGTATAACATGTGAAGCATAAATGCTTTTCAAATGACATCAACATGATATTTAATGAAAACAAGAATTTCATTATTAAAAATTAATTTAAATTTAAACAATAATGTTTAAATCATGTCTGAATTAATAAATTTTCTATAATGAATTCAAAGAAATATTGAGGAAATCTTTAATGGTAAACCTTGTGTGAATTATACACTGATGAACCAAAATGTAACATAAAACAATAAGGAGATCTTGTAACAACTTCATGTAATAGTCAGGTAAGCCAGTCTCAAGTACTTCACTATGAGGTGTGAATGTTGCAATAGAAAGAATTCACTGACTTTGATGAGAGCATATATTACCATAGCCTGAAGACAGAGCTTTCTTCAAAACAGCACAACATGTATAGTCACAAGTCAGAGAGTAGCCATGTTAATCAATGTCCAATGCTTAAAGCATTTTCAATATGTATATAAACATTGTAACTGGATCCTGTATCAATAGAAGAATGTTGTCTGATCCAATGAGGCTCACTTTCTTTTGAATAAGATGGATGGTATGGAAGATGTGCATCATTATTCTGGGAACTTTATGGCACCTAGATGATCTATGAGGAAAAAGTTAAACTATGGGTTATTTAATGCCAAAATCTAAACATTTTTGTACAAAATTTTATTTTATTTTTTGGAAATAATAATGGTTTATTGTCACAAGTCTTACTAATTAACCCATAGCTGGAGGGAGAAGTGTATTTGCATGTAAGTGAATGTAACAAACACGACTGAAATTGGAACTCTGCTCTTTGATTAACAATTCTGAGTCATTATCTGTTATACGACCCACAAATCCAAGCTTACAGCCCCTAGTATTCTCAAGTGGTCACCTATCTGGGTAGTGACCAGGTTCTATGTTGCTTAACTTTGGTGATCATACAAGAACCAGTGTTTCAACATACTGTGACCATAAGCCCCCAAAAGTTTTGAGCAACCAGCCTCTGGATTTCAAATAATTACTGTATATATTCACGTACCAGGCAACTTTTGAAGAACTAATTTTGAAGCTAATTTTAAGAGGGTTGCATCATACATGAGATATAAAATTAGCATATGTACTGCTGGCCCTGGCTATGCTGTTGATGAAACTATATATTCATTTACTTGTACTCTAAAATTACAGCTGCATTTAAAATAAACATAATTTTGATAAAAATAAGTTTTACTTAACTGTGTCCAATAATAATGCATGTAATATTCACATATTAGTATCGTATTATCAAATACAAACATAGTGAATATGCATCTTTGCCATTGTTTACTTTTTTAAGATGTTGTTTCTCATTTGGTTGTTTATGACTGTACGTGTTTAAGCAACAAGTATAGCATTACTAACGATACTTTTATCATTCTCTTTTACTATTTTAAATTATTTAACTAGAAAATGAAATAAAGAGATAGAGGAAAAGAGGTTAATCTATTGTAATTTGGTCTTTCAAAAAAGGAACTTGTATGATATGTGTGATATATGATAAAATAATTTTTTATAAATAAAAATTTGGGGGTCACATGATACAAGAGATCGTGTGTTACATGAGTATATATGGTACATAAGAATTGAAGGTTGCATGCCTTTTTAAATAACAAATTTACTATGTCACTTTCCCTTCCTGAATTGTCTTATCATATATACAATAATGATAGCAATAACAAAATTAAGCCATTACCGCATAAAGTTTCTTTAAAAGTGTAGCTCTTTTTCCCTAATCTACCTTTTGCTGGTTAAAGGTAATCTTAGGTCTGATGGGTTTTACATTTTATTTATGATTTGATTGATTTGTTTTCTATGGTTTATTAACCCTTTGCAGGTTATTTAAAACTAGAAAATATTTTTAGATTAGAAATTTTTTTTGAGGTGATTTAGTAATACAAGTCTTACTAATTAACCCATAGCAGGGGGGAAAAGAGGTGGATTCATATCTTTTCCAAGGGAATTTGCTCATTGAAACTTGGCTCTCTGATTAACAATTCTAAACCATTATCCATTACAATGCCCTCACATCTACAGCACCTGGTGTTTCCAAATAGTCACCAATTGTCAAACGTTGCTTAACTTCGGTGCTCGTACAAGAACCAGTGTTTCAACTTGCTGTGTTTGTAAGCTCTTTTAATTTTAAGTAATCCCTCTTTAAAAAATCTTGATGCCATGCAGTCATTTCAGGATCCTAGTTTAGTAAGAGTTAATTAAACTAAAGAAGGCATGAAACTTACTATTTAAATCTAAAAGGTGGATCCAAACTTTTGCCCTGTAGTGTATTTTAACATTGTTGAACAATTTTCAGCAACAGCAGTTACATCTTTTAATCCTTTTACACTGCATAAGTTGTATAAAAATGGTTTCAAGCACATGAAGACTTAACTGCATTTCTCCAGCCATGAAGTTCTTCAGATTTAAACCTCATTGAACACACAGTATGTGCTAGACCAAAAGATTTACTATACAGGACCTAACATGCACAAATTGACAAGGAATAGTAAGTTCCTTGTTAATTTGTGTATGTTAAGTAACAAATTAACAAATTTTAATTTGGACTTAAGTATTTAAAATAGAATTGACCAATAACCCTTTGCTAAAAATGATTTGTGATAGAATGGGATTTTTATAATATTTCTGGTTCAGTTATTATTAATAACTCCAGTTGGGTATGATTTTTAGAAGAGATTCCTTTAAATAAAATAAAAGGCAGAAATAAAGGCAAACTCTTTGTAAATAATGATAAGAAATTAACAGTGAACATTAAATTAAAACAATATCAGACTATCAATCAAAACAGTTGGTCATGAAGTAAACAGATTTGTTAACTTTAAAAAAATATATCAATTTATAAAAAGAAATAAACAAAAATAAACTGCTGCCAAAAAAAGCAATGAAAACTTTTATAAATTTTTTTACAACTACCAACAATTAAGTCACTGCAATTTAGTAATGTAGTATTTATACTGGTATCAAATACTTGAAGAAACTTTTAAAGGTCTTATTGAACCCAGGTAAGACTGGATAAGAACTATTTTATAGCCGCATGGAGGACCAATGTGGTCATAATGTTTTGGTTCATCATTACATCTATAGAGTGAACTCATTAATGTGTGCATGTGTATCTTGTGTGTATTTTGAAGAATGTGGCTATGCCTGTTTATCACAAGCTGAGTGAAAAATGACATTAAGAGTCATGTGCAGGGACATAAGATTGAATATGAATGTTAATGTCAACAAGAGGACTTTATTTGTACCTTGTGTCATAAGCAATGTAAGAGTAAATTGGGTCTCATTAGGTATAGCAAAGTTCATAATATCAATCATAAAAGCATAGGACAAACAAATATCCACAATAAATTGTTTTTTGCAGTGAAATAGAACTTTTAAAAGCCTTTCTGGTTTTACTAATTATTGCAGAATCCATGAGCAGGCAATAGCAACAGATGTATAGTTATGGTGATTATCTTTGTAATCAAATGAATATCTTCCATATAATAATCATCAGGAGAAAATGAAAAGAAAAATATAAAACTCCTAAATCATTTTTTATAGATTTTAATATGTAGTATTATAGCAGGGGTGACCAAACTGCAGCTTGTGAGCAACATGTGGCTCTTTGACCTTTTATATGTGATTCATGGATATATGTTGGCTGAGCTCCTTTTTTCATCACAGTTCATATAAAAGGTATATTAAAAAAAATTTCTACCTTGCAGCTCTCAAACATCTGAACTTTATCATATATAATTCTTACATTAAGCAAGTTTAGCAATCCCTGTATTATAGAGTCGTTTCTTGAAGTGTAATAATTTTCTTTTTTTTTTCTAAGAAATAAGAATAGCATTTCCAGGAATTGTATTAACTTAAATTACATTAAGCTAATAGAACTTTTAAAAGCCTTTCTGGTTTTAAGAATCATTGCTGATCTCATGGGCAGGCAGTAGCAGAGTTATAGTGCAGAAAAGACCATCTTCATAATCAAATTATCAGCAAGTATATAAGTACAATGCAGACTAGTGTTTTTAAGATAATTTCAAAATTTTTTGAATAAGTTCTGAAATATTACTGTCACGACAGTCCTAGGCATATGTAGGAGCTTGTTACAATTGGAATTTTAAAATTTAACAAATTTTTTTCTTTTTTTTAAAAAGATAATGATTTTTCTCATCAAGCCCTACCATTTAAAATATAGCTGGGAAAAGAAGAGGTGAATTCATATCCTTTCCTAAGGGTATTTACATGTAAGTGAATATAAGAAACACGATTTCTCCCTGTTTACACACGTATCCAATTTCTGAGCAATAACTCATCTAGGTACTGACCAGGCACAATTTTTTTTTTTCTACTACTCCGAACATTATTTTATGGACATTTATGCTTGAGTCTACCCAGTTTTGTTTTGTTTTTAAAATCAGTGTGAATTATATCTACAGTTAAGAGACTTAAGAAAGAATACATTCTAATTGGCAGGGTTCAAATGTATGTCCCCCACTTTGTAGGAAAAACCAATGCCTAATTCGGCAGCTTTAGAACGTTCGGCTACGAAGCATAATCAGTGATTTCTCCAACAAGAGAGGATCTAAGTTCAAACCCTGCTGGAGAGCATATTTCTTTATTATGTCTCTTGTGTATGCAGGCTGGTAGATTTAATTCACACTATTTAAAAATAAAACTGGGCTTCTACTCAAACATGGGTAACCATGAGAATAACATTTGGAATAGTAGGAAATGAGATAATTTGATTAAAGTTTAATAAAAACGAGAGAAGTATGTCAATATAGAGCTAGTGATTAAAATGTTGGTTAGGCCATGATTACTGTAATGAGTCCAAATTTAACTCAGTGCTTAACACATTTAACCATGTCCTGGATTGAGTTAAACTAGTTACAAAGAAAAACAAAGATAAAAAGAAGGAGAAAACCATAAGAAGTCATTTGAATGAAGTAGTGGACAAAACTGAACAACTGGTGAGTAGACTGCTTACCTTATGAAATTCATTGGCCGACCACAGAACCAACAATATTCCAAATTGAAACTTTTAGCAATGGCCTCTCTGGAACTGGTGGATGGAGCTACAATGCCATTGCGTCCAGCCATAGCAAAAGGGTTTACAGCCATAATAGATTTTGTGTTTATTGGTGTTAGTTCCCAAGTTGCTTTAGCTAGAACGGTGATAGCAGCATCAGATCCAGAGAATAAATAGTGACATTTTAACGCCTTTACTAGGAAAAAGGCTCCAACAAATACAAACTCTCTTTCATCCTAGAATGCATTTATTAATTTCTGCCAATGTGTGAAGATCAAATAAAAAAAAATAATGTCAAAGACTGAAGCTCCTTTAGAAGTTAAATGTTTGTATTCCGTTTCATGTCCCAATTATAAGAATCCTGTAAAAGCCAAGACGAGCTATAGAGTTGAAGTAGTAAATTTAACTCTGATTTTTTCCATTTTGTAAAGATGGAATTATTCCATAACTAAATGTATAATCCTTTTAGGAGACAGAAATAAAACTTTTTCCTTCACAGAAGAAGATGGACAAAAATTCAACTGTTTTTAGAATGGAAAAAAATATTCCACTGTTTACAGAATTTTTTTTTTTTTTTTTTTTAAATTTACTCAGATTAAATTGCTTAAAAATAATTAAGTCTCAAGAATTCAACTCCTTATTTTTTGTGTGTGTATATTTGCAAATTTTTTAATTTTTCTTGAAATATTTTTTAAACAAGTTCTTGACATATTTCCAAGAAAAACAGAACAGTCCATAGATGGCAAGTAAAAAAAAAATAAATAAATAAAATAAGAAATCAGATAGATGAATACACAATAAATTTTTTGGTATGTGTGTGTGTGTGTGTGGGGGGGTACAGTTTCTGATAAAACTGTTAGAATGTAGTTTTGTGTGTGTGTGTGTGTGTGTGTGTGTGGTGGTGGTGGG